TATATATATATATATATATGCGTCGCGTACTTAGATTAGTTGGTCGGACATCTGCAAGTCAGTTTTAAGTCTCCTCTTGGCTGGGGTTCGATTCCCCCCATTTCTAGGGTGTAGTACTCGAATTCTTAGACGTGTGAGGAATGGTCAAGACTCATATAGTAGCCTCCGGTCTGCATTATTGACTGGTGGAGTTCACCCCATTAGAGGAATAGTTGAAAATGCTAAAATACTGGTACAGACAATTACAAAATACTATTAATATTTGGACCATAATTGGTATAAATTTTAAATGGTACTCCTCTAATGAATATATATATATATATAGAAACAAAAAACTGGGGCAAGTAGGCCAAAAAATCCAATTATCTACGTATACAAGGCCATCTTTTAAATAAATAAATGTGTTTATTTACCTTCAGGAGAGCGACAAATGGAAAGATAAGCTAATAAAAACTTCTAAAACAGAAATAATTTTAAAAACAAATTTAAAATAAATAATATCAAGAAAGTTTTGCATAGGTACCACCGAATTTCTAATATCTAACATCTAAGGTTTAAATTTTACTTTTGTAATGCTATCTAAGTTCAAAGGGACATATTTTGCATTTTAATAAGAGATTTGGCCATGTAGATATATTAGTTTAATTACAACCATAATTCAATAACTTGTCAAATATATAATTTTGGAGCATTTGCATACATAACATACAATTATTATGTATTCGCATATGTAGTGATTAAACATTCACATTTAACTTGAACAGAAAGAAGAGAAAGACACGAGGAGAAGAAGGCTCGAAGAAAGATAAGTAAATAAACTTTGTATTTTCTCTTATCAAATACAAAGGCACCGATACAAGTATATATAGACCGATATACAATAACAATTTATATGCATACCACTCAAATCTTTAATATTAAATCAAGAATACCACCATTACTATCTTTTTTTTTAAATTAAAATACATTTTTTTCATGCATGCATATCATGCATAAGTTCAGAAACCAAAATGTTACGAGTGTAAGTGTCAAAATTTGGGTACTAGACATGTTAAAATTATGGGTAATTTTTTCTTCCGGCTTATTTACATGTCTTCCCTAGTCCTTTATAAAAGAGATGTAGGGATTATGAAAGATATATGGTAAGAAGTATGAGTTGTAACCCCTGGCTTTTTTCTTTCTCTTCATTCAATGCTAGTGAAATCTTCCTCTCTGTTGACAGAGCCGAATCTGCATAATCACATAAATCCTTTATGCTTGATTGTTGTGTGAATTTATTCGTTTCCGTATTGTTCTCACGTAACAATTGGTATCAGAGCTTCAGGTTTGTGATCGTTGTGTGGTTCAACCTCGATAGCAACAATTATAGCGTGTGTTGTTGAAATTCGTTGCAGCAGGTAATTTGATGTGCTTTGCCGACATATTCGGAGGTTCGTTTGCAAATCGGTGGCAGACCGGTGGTTTTGAATTGAAAATTAGTGGAGCGGCGGTTCCACCGGTGCGCGGCGATTCTGGCGGCTCCTGCGGAGGTTCCGACAGATGTCCGATGAAAGACTCTAGCGGTGGTCTGGCGAAAGACTCTGATGGCGGTCCGACGAAAGGTGCTGGCCGGCAAGGTTCGGGTGGGAGCTTCATGGAATAAGGAAAAAACAATTGGATTTCTCGGAAAGAAGATTTTCTGGGAAAGACAAAAAAAAAACGTTAAAAACAGAAAGAAAATTAAAAATAAAAAGAGTTTTATTTTTTGAAATTTATTTCTTTTGAAGTTTGTTTTTCCTTTTTTTCTAGGTATGCTGGAATTTTGTTTTCAGGAAAGAGATTTCAATAGTGGAAACAATAAACTATAATACGATGCTAGGTTATTTAACTTTCACTATGACAGTGAAAAAGTCGATTCATCACGTGATTATGCATCCCGTCAAAATCGATGTGACTAAATTTGATGACAAATGAAACTTTGACATGCGACGATGCGAGGTGATGAATGTGTTGTATTTTCTTAATCTGAAGGAAGTCCTGAATAGCGATGAATGTTCTCAAGAGATGCCAAAGAGAGATTGATTGAAGATGAATCAGAGTGTTCGTGACTTGATCCAAAATTACTTGACTCAAGAGATCACAAATGGTGTGGTGATGGAGACTTCTGCAGAAAAATTGTGGAGGATATTGAAGAATAAATATTTCACGACGAAGTCGTCTCCATATGAAATGCAGACTCTACAAATTTCAGATGAGAAGCGGATTCTATTGATGAGCACTTGAATGACTTCACAAAGCAATTAACAGGTTTGTTAAATTTGAATGAGGAGGTTTGAGATGAAGATTAGACGTTCATTCTGTTGAATTCGCTCTCAGATGAGTACAAAAACTTCACTATGACATTCATTCATGGAAAATATGTTTTGAATTATGACAAAGTGACTACGACACAGTTGAAACATGAGTTTTGTCAAAGGGATAAGGAGTTCGCAAAGATAGAGTAAGCTGAGGCATTTACACTCCAATGAGGTAAATATGAGAAGAAGAAGAAGAAAAATTTGGCAAAGAAATGTGTTAGGAGTAACACTTCTTAAAAGCTATGCAAGTCTCGTGGCGCATAGGAATAATCAGTGTGTTTTCTTTTAAGAGACTGGTCATTAGAAGAAAGATTGTCTGAAACTGAAGGAGAAGGGAAAAGAAGTTTCATTTAGAGCGAAAGCCAATATCGGTGTTGAAAGATGTGAAGAAGCGGATGCATATGTATCAATATATGGAGGTTCTCACAATTTATTTATAGATGATTCATGTTGGATTCTGGATACAGACCAATGTTAATCATGTTCCAAATATCATAAAAAAATTGTTGTTGGTTTGAGCTTTAAAGGCTAAAGGCTGTAAGACAGTTATTAAGACGAGAGTTCAGAGGATATGTTGTGGAACAATAATTTTTATGAAGGGAGTTCGTCATCATGACTTTTACTATCTTTAGGGTAGTACAATACCTGAAACTGCTACTTTTGTTGATAGATCTTCTGGCGTCACTATGTTGTGGCATATGCTGCTAGCTCATGTTGGAAAGCCTTCACTTCAAGCTTTGGTGAATGATGAATTAATCAAAGAAGTGAGCACCTGCAAACTTCATTTCTGTGAACTTATGTATTTGACAAGAAGACGGGCATCTCTTGAGACTGCCATCTACAATACAAAAGATATTTTATAATAAGTTCACACAGATGTTTGGGACCTGATGAAGACAATATCATTCAGTGGGCGAAGATACTTCGTGTCTTTCATTGATGATTGCATCAAGTATGTTTGGGTGTACACCATGAAGCGCAAAAGCAAAGTGCTGGAGATTTTTTTAACTTTAAAGAAGTGAATTGAGACTCAGTCTGGTAAAAAGATATGGTGTATCAGATTAGACAATAGGGGCGAATACACTTCAAATGCACTCTTGCAAAAGTGCAAAGAGTTGGGATAGAACACCACTTCACTATTTGAGAGATACCACAATAAAACGGGGTGGCAGAGATGATGAACCAAACTTTGGTGAAGAAAGTTCGGTCTATGTTATCCAATGTTGAGTTGGATAGAATCTATTGGGCCAAAACCATAAAATATGTATGTCACTTAGTGAACCATCTGTCTTTTGTAGCTATTAGGAAGAAGACTTCAAAGAAAATGTGATCAGGGCATCTTATAAGAAAATATGAGCACATGAGTGTGTTTGGGTGTCTAGCTTACCAACACATGCAAAATAATAGATTGGAACCACAAACAAAGAAAGCGATCTTCATTGACTTCAGGTATGGAGTCAAGGGCTTCAAGCTGTATGATCAGTTAGAAATGAAGGTTGTCATTAGCAGGGATGTTACATTCGATGAGACAAGCTTGTTAAAAAAAACGGGACTCAAAGTAGGTGGAGACTTTTACTAGAACCACGAATATGCAGCAGAAGTTAGAGTTTGATTTAACTCCATTTCATCCACAGAATTCGTCCACTCCGACTCAAATATTTGATTCAGTGGCATCTTAGGATGTATCTGCTGATAGTACTTAGGAGTAGGTGGAAGAAGATGTTAAGGATGAAATTCCTACTCAAGAATCTATTGCTAGGAGAAGGATCACACGTCAGATGTCCCAAAACCAGCTTGGTTGAGGGATCACTTTGCATTTCCACTTTCAGCCACAGAGGTAGAAATTTCTTGTCACTACAAAGAAGCAGTGAAGATCTCATACTGTGATCTTTAGAGAGCGGCAATTGATAAGTGATGGAGTCTTTTCGAAAGAATGGTACTGACGGTTGGTGAAACTTCCTCGTGGAAGAAAAACCATCGGGTACAATAGGTGTATGCAAAGAAGAAAAGATCTCAGGGAGCTTATATGGGGTACAAGACAAGATTAGTGGCAACGAAAAGGGATTGATTATAACGAGGTGTTCTCCCCAATGGTCAAGCATTTCTCAGTCCATTTTCTCTTAACACTTGTAATACAGTACGACCTGATCTTGGAACATCTCGATATGAAGATTGCATTTCTACACGTGGTTACACAAGGAGATCTACATGTTACAGTTATCTAGATATGAAGCATCAAAAGATTTGATTTGCAAACTGAATAAGTCTTTGCATTGGTTGAAGCAGTCACCACAACAATGGTATAAAAAATTTGATCAGTTCATGAGGAGATATGTACACGATGAGCCAATATGATCATCGAGCATATTTCAAGAAGTTGGCCAACAATAAGTTCATTTATTTGCTTCTAAATGTTGATCTGTTATTTGCAACTACTAGTCAGATTGAGGTTGATATAATGAAAAACCAACTATCCAGACATTTTGAAATGAAGGATTGGGTGAAGCTTGCAAAATTCTTGGCATGAAAATTCTCTGGGACAATGCAAATGGAAAGATTTTGTTTTTGCAAAGAGCTTATTTTAGGAAGTTGCTGAAGAATTTAGGTTGATGACTTGAGCAAGGCAGTGAGTATACCCATCACAACTCACTTTCATTTGAGTTCAGATCAGCGTCTTAAAGATGATCAGAAAAGTAAAGATATGTGATCAATTTCTTAAGCTAATGAAGTCAGCAATCTAATGTATGTCATAATTTATACTAAACTAGATATTGCACAAGCAGTATGTGTTATGAGCAAGTCCAGGAATGATCCAGGAAGAAAACATTGGCAGGCTATGAAGAGTATTCGAATGTATCTGAAGGGTACAGTTGATGTTGACTTAGTGTTTGAGAGAACCATCTATTGCAGATTTTTGTGTAAGCTACACTGACTCGGACTGTGCAGGTCATATGGGATAGGCAATGATCTCGACTAGTTATTCATTCACATTAACACCGATTATTTTGAGATCGGCTCTTCAATCTATTATTGTTTTATCTACTACGGAGGTCGAGTACATGGTTGTCACTGAGACTAGTTAATGAAGAAATATAAATGCAGGGTCTATTGAATGAATTGAGAGATAATCAAGAGTCTCTGATGGGGTTTTATGACAATCATAATGCAATATTCTTGGTCATAAACCAAGTCCATCATCCTCATACCAGCACATTGATGTAAGATACTACTTTGTCCGCGACTTAATTGATGAGGATAAGGTTCCGTTGAAGAAAATAAATGCGAAGGAGAATCTAATTGACATACTCATGAAAGTACTACCAATCCAGAAGTTCACCTACAGTTGGAGTTTGGTGAACATTCGAGCTCAGGATTAATTGCCCAATAGGACATTTTGAAGAACTACGCAAGGCTTAATTCCTTCGGGAGGGGGGTACGAATGCAACCACTTTGGTGCAGCTAAATTGGAGTTTAGAGTTCATTTGATCATTTCTCACTTATCTGGAGTAAGAGATGAGAGAAAGATTAATGTATTTAAGGCTTGTTTTAAATTAGGGGTAATTTTGTCTTTTGAATTTATTTACTTGTATGTCATAATCCTCATCTATAATAAGTCTAAAGAGATATATATGATGAGAAGTGTAAGTTGTAACCCCTAGCCTTTTTCTTCTCCCCATCTGATGCTAGTAAAATCTCCCTCCCCATGGACACGTGAATCTGTCGAACCATATGAATCTTTTGTGTTTGATTGCTATTACGTAAATTCTTCATTTTCACATCATTTTAGCATAACAACTACGAGCATTAGTATTAATCATGTCACATGACTACATCAACATATACATTATGTTATCCACACAAAATGACAAAAAAAAAAAAAAAAGCATTTATTTATTCCTCAAAAAGTATAAAAAAGAAAAACATAAATTCATTGATATATTCCAAACAAACTCAACACCCCAATCATAATCATCACCATCACCATTGTCCTCTCTCCAACATAGCATTCACCATCATTGATTAAAAAAACAAACTTAGCTAAAAGCTTATTAAACATGAAACAAATTACATTTTAAACAGCAATTTACATAACTCTCTAGTATAATATAGAAAATGCATATTGCCAAGCTTCCACCTCTAAACAGAAAATATATGCAAATATATATTTATATATCAATCCTTACAACAGTTTGGGTGCGAAAAGGTTTGTACCATGAACATGGGGATGGGGTTTGAGCTTTTGGATCCAATGAAGCGTCCGCTTCTTGTGTTCATGGCTACTTAAGTTCTGAACCATATTGAGTGTGCCTCCTTGAGAAAGTGTAGATTCAAACTGTTCCAAAACCTTCACAATCTGCCAAAATTCAGGCCTTTTCTCTGGAAGAGATGCCCAGCATTGCTCTATCAATGCTCTTAACGCTATTGGGCATTCCGTAGGAAAACCAGGCCTCAAATTCTGAAATAGAAACATCTCTAAATCAGAAATAATGTCAAATTTGCATAGCTTCTCCGAACAATTTACACAAATTATAAAAAAAAGGGGGAAATTTACATATGTAGCACGCAATTCTTATGTATTTAAACCTACGCATGAAAATGTGTATTTCAGTTTTAAAATGTGATAATCATATTAGTTTTGATGTGATATTAAGGATTTGAGTGTCGTGTGTAAATATGAAAATATAGGTGTGATATGTGTAAATGCATAAGAAAGGTGTGTTATGTATTTAAAAGCACCTACAAAGATTAGTCTGGAGATTTATGTAAAAATGCAGTAAAAAAAATTGTACAATGAGTTCCATGTTATGTGATGTAGTCTTCATTTTATGAATAAATTTAAACAATTCAACCTTATAAATGATTAAAATGAATAATAACTGTAGGTGCAGCTGAATGCCCAAATAAACCAAATAGCAAAGCCTGGAAAAATCAACTTCAATGGATTCACAGAGCATTGAAGGAAAACAAATATTAGATAATAGCAAAAGAAAGAGAGATTTACATACATACCTCACAATTCTTATACATTTACATATCTAACACCTAAAGCTTAAAATTTACAGCTATAATGCATGAAAATGTGTATATTACTTTAAAAAAGTTAGTAATAGTGGTATTTTTGTTATGATGTTAGAGATTCTGAGTGTATGCATGTAAATATCAAAGTTTAGATGTTAAATATGTATTGGGTGGAATGTATGTAAATGCCCCCACCAAAAAAATGAAAATTACCTTATCAACCACTGCAAAAGCGGCTTGGACCGGCGTCATATCCTCGTATGGAATTCTTCTACTAACCATCTCCCAAAGAACTAATCCAAAGCTGTAGACATCAACCTTCCTGCCATAATGTTTATGTTTAATCATTTCGGGCGCCATCCAACGATAAGTTCCGGGATCCTCAGCCAGTGGATCTGAACATGCCTCTTCACAAGCAATTCCAAAATCAGCAATTTTTACACAAAAGTCCTGATCAAAGAGAATATTTTCGGGCTTCAGATCACGGTGAATAACCCCCTGAGAATGAATGTATTCCATTCCCTGAGCGATATCGAGTGCGATGGAGATAAGTTTCTGAAGTGGAAGGGATTCATGTCCTAATCTGTGAAGAAATGCCCGTAAGGAGCCGCCGGAAAGATATTCCGTAATTATGCAAAAGACGGGGGGATTTCTGCCAGCTGCTGCTAACTGCAACAAACAGAAATAGTTAAAAGTGAAAATGAAAGCAATATCAACATTAAATTCAAATATTGATTTGTGGCAAAACATTCATTTATGTGAATTATTTATCTTTACAATGATTTATTTTGGCTCAAAATCTCCAAAAGATAAAGATTTGGAAACATGAAGCTGAGAAATCTTCTTGAATAAATTTAAAAAGCATATATGCGGAAAATAAGCCAACTTGTATAAACAAAAATTCATCTCTAACGGTTATTTGGTCGATAGTATATAGGGGTCTTTACATACCAACCACCCAATTCTTATGTTTTAACATTTCAACGTTCAAAACTTCATTTTTACGAACAGGCCCCTGTTTCCTATGTTTTTGGCATAACTTCTGTGATCTGTGTATAAAAAATTGAAATTTGGGCAGTTAATATGTTAATATGTAGGAATTAGGCGGTTGTTATGTAAATCTCCCTATTATTTAAACAGCAATGTTATCTGGATAACAATCTCTTCATAGAACAATATTATCTGCCAAACTACTTAAATGATATAATGTTATCTAGGAAGATTAACAATGATTCATAAATATGTATATATATATATAGATAGAGAGAGAGAGAGAGAGAGTGAGAGAGAGAGAACGGAAATCAAATCCCACACCTCCATTTTCAAGATAAAAGTTAACATTTAGCTATTAATGTCATGCTATTTTTACCAAAATTCATATATCATCCAAATAGAACATGAAATCAAGCAAATAATCCAATCATAATCATTAGATCATCATATTTAGCCTTGTGCCATTATTGGGGTTGGCTTTATAAATCCTTGTTTTTCATTCATAAACATTACATCTAAGACTTCTTCTTCGTAACCCTCTGACACTATTTGCTTCATAATAAATAGAATTTGATAAACATAACATGAATGATGATAAGAAATATACAAGAAAACATCATAAAAAATCTATGTAGTTAAGAAATGAAAAAAGAATAGTTGAATACCTTTATCACATTGCGGTGATACAAATGAGATAGAAAATTGACCTCCCTGCTAAACTGCTTCTCCAATCGAGAAGCCATAGTTCCATCTTCATCATCATCGGGAGGCCGAATAATTTTGACTGCAACAGGTTCATCTTTATAGATGCCATGGTACAATCTACTATGAGCTCCACAGGCAAACCTGAAACCAAGATACAACTGTGAAAGATCAAACGTCCATTGATCCATTGTATCCACAGCATCAACCTTCCCTGTTCCATGATCAAAATATTTCATCCAAGTTGTATCCTTTCCCCCCTTAATCTTATCAGAGTTTCTCATCCCAAAGAAGTGCTGAACAGGACTTGTCTGAGATGGAGACAGGGTGTTAAACATGTCGTTCTCATGAACTCCCCTGGAGAACATTCTTCCAAGGACTCCTTTTTCTGATCCTTTTCTGGTCGGCGGTGGGGTGGAAAACCTCTTCTTTTCAGCTCTGGCTTCCCTGAAGGAATCAGAGAGTGCTGTAGTTGGAAGAGGAGACACAGATCTTTGTTTAGATTTCGAGCTGCGGTCTCTCCCATCAGCTGAACCTATAGAATTTTTATAGTTTCGATCCAACTGGACTCCAACAGAAGGTCCAAAAGCCACTCTGAAACCTAAATTCATTGTATTTGATCTGAGAAAATACTCGGGATGGAATAACATAGTTGGAGAGTTCATGGTAGAACCCTTAAAAGTTTGGTTGCTGCCAACATCAGGCTGAAAAGAAAATGATTCACATGGCAAGCTGCTCTGAGAACGCAAAATAGGATCTTTAGTTTTCTTTTCCACCATGCGTTCTACAGGCAATGAGATTGAAGCTGAGAGCTTTGAAGAATCTGAACTTTGCTTCGTTCTAGTAATTCCTTGGCGAAGAACAAATTCAGAGGAGAATGGAATGGATGGCAACCAAGAAGAACCCGAACGGTGAAACACAGTGTTGGAGAAATTAGTTCTTCTTACCCAAGATTTACATTCTTCCTCCATTCCTCCGGTGGAATAAACAGAAACCATCCAGAAAAAAACAATCAAATTCCGACCATAACCATATCAATTGAACAAACCCAACCCTTTAAGCAGTGTTCAAGCCCTGGAATCCACCCAATTCTATGAACACAAAAATAAAAGAGAAGACTTTCAACTCTTGGTTCCATCTGCAAGCGAAAAATCCCTTCTCTTTTCAGTAAAAGCGAAGTACTCAACGCAGTTAATCAAAACAAAAAAAAACAAACAAATCAGAGCCAAAAAATTATGAAAAGCAACTTTGAAGAACCTTAGAACAATATAAATAAGCAAAGGCAACACGCCATTCAAGCACACAAAGCTGGCAAAGAAAGCAATCCCTGCAACTCCTTTTAAACGAATCAAAACAAACTGATCAAATATGAATACTCCATTGAACTCCTAACATAACAAAAAACAAAAACAAAAAAAAAAAAACACTCATTTTTCATAAGAATCAACGAACGGAACTTTTTACTCCTACACTTCGTCTTCCATTCATCACAGAACTTGCCACCAGTAAAAGCGGTAACAGATACAGAAAACAAGCGAGAGCGATTGAGTTAACCTACCTACATGTAAAACAGAAACTCAACGCAAATGATTGCTCCCTTCCTGCGAAGAAAATAAGAATAAAGAAGACGATGGAGAAAAAAAATTCGCCCCGCCTCTCTCAGGATGCTCCTCACCGTTGTCTAAGAACAGTTAAATTAGACCATAAGCTTCACCCGTTGTTAAACTCACGGCGCCACCTTACGTTCATCACGCGACACGTGGCGTGTAGATTATTGACCGGCAAATCCACGATTCGTTCCGGCTGTACAGACAATCTACTCAACTGGTATAAACAATTCAATAGATTTTTAATTCACATGATCTTAGAGAATAGGTCTACTTTTACACGTTATAAACATTAAATGATAATATATAATAATCTACACTATATTTTTGTGATGCGCGCTAATATATCATTATTGTTAAATAAGTATATCATATATATCAAATATGTATTTAATGTTATCATTTTTAAATTTAATTTAAAGGCGGCTCTTTTCATTTAATGGTGGTTTACAATTAGAAAATACATGTAGAAATGTATAGTCAAAAAGTTACTTTTAAGGGAATCACATATCGGATGAGTTAGAGTATCGAGAATCATACGGCGCAGAACTTATTGTTCGGTGACAACAATCTCGTGTGAGTAGAGAAAAGAATAAACGGCGTCTTTGGGTGTAACCAAAGAGCTAAGACGTGACCAAATTTAGCGACTAAGGTCGAGTGACCGAAGTCAGATGACAGAATCAGCGAGAAATCTTGGTTTGACACTTTTATTTTCACCCCATAATTTATGCTTTAGTTTCCTTATGGAATTTAAGCCAATTGAATGCGGGACTAAACTCATCAATTTACAATTTTGTTGCTTGTTTTAATCAAATTTTGCATTATCATGAATTGAGAGAGATTTGAAAAAAATATTAGTAGGAAATTGTAAATGGCGGTTTTAAAAATAAAAAATGGATAAATAAAAAGGGAAAATGGCGGCTATGTTTAATATTAGATGTCCTTTTCGAGAGGGAGAAAAATAAAGAAAAAAAAAGAAAAAGAAAAAGAAGGGTTGTTATGGAATTATGGAACATAAAATTCAGAAGCAAGAAGTAACTTACCGTCCTAGTCTTACATGACTGATGAGATTGTGACTTCTTATTGCATTCAAAGATGTGACCGCTACCTTGAAGACATTTTTGGGTATGTTTACATACACATCACTTAAGTTTTATGTATTTACATATCTCCAAGTTAAATTTTATTTTTACATCTATGACTACACCTATTCATGAAAGGGATTCTTTTGTGTGGCATGTATGTAGATGACCCATTTTTTAATATTTTATGGAAAGGTCAAAAGTAAACATATAATTCATTTATATTCAAGCTAGTTGGATCAACAATTCTAGATTGAATTCTAACAATTGATTGTGTACATATTGAAATATTTGAGCACGAATCTCAAGACAAATGAACGACTCAGGGAGAAGATGCAACCGATCGAACATAGCCTTCGATGATCGTTTTTTGGCTGAATATTGGCGAAAGAAATGTCATGTTCGAACGATCGGTAGAATGCGTCAAAAGAAGCTACCGCTAAGCGGCAATTAACATTCAGAAAAATCGACGGGAAGCACTCTTTCAGACTAGATATTGGTCGAGTGAAGGCTTACTAGGTGATCATCAACCCTCATCGGTCGAATTGGTCCCTGATCTTTTTATATGAAAATAAATATCTAATTTCCAAAAAATCCCCCTCAAAAGTTTATGATGAGGGGGCAAAAATGTACTTTTTATAATGTTGTGGTCTAATCCTATAAATAGAGGTCTATATCATGAATAAGACACTATATTTTTAATGTTCTCTACTGCTCTCTCTCTCTCTCTCTCTCTCTCTCTCTCTCTCTCTCTCTCTCTCTCTCTCTCTCTCTCTCTCTCTCTCTCTCTCTCTCTCTCTCTCTCTCTCTCTCTCTCTCTCTCTCTCTCTCTCTCTCTCCCTCCCTCCTCACTTCATAGCATAACGTTATTTTTCTTGGGTGTTTTTTCTGGACACTTTTGGATTCAATATTCTTTAAGGTACGATGACGTGCAATTATGGCGTCAACAAGAAGATGAGCCCAACAACAACAATAGGGATAATCCAATCAGAGGAACATAAGAGAAGCAACATGCAACTAGGAGTTTGTGGAAGAATTCGTGCAACAAGGCTTGCAAGATTTGAGAACTCAAATCACCAACCAAATGTCAGGAAAGTTTGTAGAAGTACTTAGTTCTGTCGCTCCTCTTGGCATGGACACAGCTCTCTTCCTACTCACCCCTTCTAGGAATACCTCACTCACCAGCTTACGCTTCACGTCCATCTTATGGGTCTGTACCCGCAAATCACTCATTGCTTTAAGGAAGACGCTTATCGGAAGGCGGCGCTCCTTTGCCAGAAATTGCAAAAAACACAAAAAGAAAGGACACGAGACGAATGAGCAAAAAGAGACAGAGACGGTGCAAACCTCCCTTGCTCCAAATCCTATTTATAATGGCACGGGCATGGAAATCCGGGGAAGTCCATTATTGCGCGGTAATGTCATTTAGTTATTTCTTATATGTTAAAAAAATCTCTTATCCTCTTGTATTGTACAACTTATGTGCAGTAAGACAATCAGAGAACTGAATATGTACATATTCAAATATGGCAGCAAGAATCTCATGACAGATAAACGGTTCAGGAAGAAGATGCGGTCGATCGAACATAGCCTTCGACAATCTTTTTTTGGCTAAATCTTGGCAAAAGAAGCATCTTTTTCAAATGATCGGTAGAAGGCGTCAGGAGAAGCTCCCGTGGGGCGGTAATCAAACTTCAGGACGATCGACAGGGAGTAATCTTTCGCACTGGATATCAATCGAGTCAAGGCTTACCAGGTGATAGACAACCCTCATCGATCGAATCTGTCACCGATCTTATCATATGTAAATAGCTCTATAATTACTAAAAAGTCCCCTAAAAAGTTAATGATGAGGGGGCTAAAATTTACTTTTATAAAGTTGGGATCTATGCCTATAAATAGGGGTCCATGTCATGAATAAGACAATCTCTTTTTACTGTTCCCTACTGCTCTCTCTCTCTCTCTCTCTCTATCTATCTCTCTTTCTCTCTTTTTATCTCTCTTTGTCTCTCTCTAATCACTTCCTATCAGCACGTTCTATTTTCTGGGTGTGTTTCCCAAACACTTTTGATTCAATAGATTGATTATGAAACAACATGAATCAATTAAAATTTAAACTTATCATGATCTAAGCCGACTAAGGCTCCATTTGAGACAGCTTAAAAGTGTGGCGGCAATTTCAAAACGCTGTCTTTGTGTTTGGTTCACACTTTTTATCAGCGTTTTTAAAACGGCGTATTAATTTCTTAATAAACGTCAGAAGTGGGGTGGACCCTGTGTCTCGCGTTCGTTCGAGATTATTTACTCTGCTGCCCTCGACCTCGGAAGAAGGTGTGAACAGGAGATTTTTGATTGGAGCCGAGCGCAAAGATGAAGACGGGAGTTTCAGTGGTCTATGTATGCCACGATCTCATCTTTTCCTTTCCAGGTAGTTGTGATCCCGTCGTTCCCGAAGCCAGGTAGTCGTGATCTCGTCGTTCCCTTCCCAGGCAAGCCACGATCCCCTCATTCCCTTCGTAGGCAGCCGCGAAGAACGATCCAGGAATGGCCTGGTAAGGTGGATACAGATAGATGAGAGTTTTCTCTATCTCAGAGGAGTGGAGATGGATATGAGTTGATCGTTAATTTTTTTTTTTTTTTTACTAAATATCCTTACACTGGATTTGGCTCAATTTCTTTTGGTTACTTCTTCCCCTTTTTTGTTTTTTTCTCCCTGCATAAGTGTTATTGAAACTTTATTTGGTAGTCTGTGCAATGGTGAAGGAACCATTGAATTCAAATGACGTATGAGTTTTTGAATAAACGATGAGTTATATTCTTAGTAGAATTGAGTAAAATATCTTCAGTTTATACTTTTTTTTTTCAATTTGGCTCGGGTTTTATCTCATAGGTTGTTCTCGCTGAAGAAATTGGACATGTATCAGTAATAATTTTTTTTTCAATTTGGTTCGGGTTTTATCTCATAGTCGCAATCCCGTAGTTTCCTTCCCGGGCAGCTTTATGGTAGGGATAAATAGGAGAAGAGGTAGAATCGAGGAGAGCCGTGATCCCGTCATATGTGTGGTCAGTTCAAATTCTAATAAATTTTGTATTGATCAGATTTATAATTGCTAATTGTTTGTGTGTATCCAAAAAGTATTTTTTGGCTTAAAGTTGCACCAATTCTTCTCCATAACATCTGCAGAATAGCTAAACTGCTATTACGATGATAAAGGTGTTTTGATGAGGCTTTTAGGGATAAAAAATAAGAAGATTCAAAACATAGATACACTCTCAAAAATAGAATATATTTTTCTGCTTCTGCAGTATCAAATATATTTCCAAGACAATTATGTTACAAACATCAGTACTTAACAGGGGAAAAATGGTCATTTAGCAGTCAGCTAGCTAATCAGGATAAGTTGTTGATCAGCCACTTAGTAGGATAAGCTGCTTATTTGGATAAGCTGGATAAGCTGCAGCTGCCCCAAACAGACCCAAGGCTTCGAGTCATCCTTGAATCAGTTGTTCTTGTTCTTAGAGATAGGAGCTAAACATGCCTAAGCATTAATGAAGTTGTCAAAATTCAACGGCAAAGAAACTTAACTGCTTATCTTATGCTCTTATCACTGATCAATAATTCTAGTACTCATCATGTGTGCTCACTCATAATTTAAAAATGGCTCGAAGTTTACAACTAGGAGTTAATTCTATATCAAATTCATCTGTTACACAGCAAATTACAAAATCTAACCCAAGTCATATATTTCTTATGAAATAATATTATATAGCAAATCACATAGCATCAATCTTGCCTCTTTTCTATAAATAGGAGGTTAAGTCGTGCAATGGAACACAAAAAAGCTATCTTGTAGTATTATATTTTTAGAATTCATCATAAAACATCCTTGATCACTTTGATTCCACATCAAAGGATTTTAAAGGGATGTCAGAATTAAAATGTAGTAATCATTTTTAAGTGTAAGTATTGCATATAGAGTTC